CTTTCCTGCCTCAGTCCTGGTTGCAGCCTGTGGTCCTGGCAGAGCCCCAGGAGGCCCTCCCCAGAGTGCTGACGCTCATCCCTCTGCCCAGGCTGCAGCTGGCATCTGGATAGGGGTTGGTTGCTTAGCAACATGGGCGCAGGTTCTGCCCTGAGCCAAGGGAACCATTTCCTCAGTCTTGGGTGCAGGAATTTCAAGGAGAACAGCTCCAGGAGGACCTGAGGGAGCAGGGCATGGGGAAAGCAGGAACAACTATGTCCCCGGGAGGGCATGGAGATGGGGACCCTCCTTAAGGAGAAGACTCAGCTTCAGGGACAGTGAAAGAGAACCAGGAGACCTGTGTCAATCATAAAGATGTTACTATTATGACCACAGCAACATTTCTTGAGCACTATCTGTGTGCCAGGCACTGTGCTAAGTGCTTTATAGTCTATGATCCTTTCCAAACCCCAGGCAATAGGTTACTATTATTATGTCCCTTTTGCAAACGAGGATCCAGGGCTCATGGAGGTTGACTTGTCACACAGTCAGAAAATGCAGAAGCTGGGATATGAACCCAGGTCTTTCTTTTCTTTTTCTTTCTTTTTTAAAAAATAAGCTTATTTATTTATTTTTGGCTGTGTTGGGTCTTCACTGTTGTGCAGGCTTTCTCTAGCTGTGAAAAGCAGGGGCTACTCTTCCATGCGGTGCACGGGCTTCTCATTGTGGTGGCTTCTCCTGTTGCGGAGCACAGGCTCTAGGCTTGCAGGCTTCAGTAGTTGTGGCACATGGGCTCAGTAGTTGTGGCTCATGGGCTCTAGAGTGCAGGCTCAGTAGTCGTGGCACATGGACTTAGTTGCTCCGTGACATGTGGGATCTTCCCGGACCAGGGATAGAACCTGTGTCCCCTGCATTGGCAGGCGGATTCTTAACGACTGCGCCACCAGGGAAGTCCCAAACCCAGGTCTTTCTGACGCCCCAGCTCAGTCCCCATTACAGCCCTGGCTGGGCACTTGATAGAGAAAATATACTATGGGGCTCCCAAGGCCCTGGGCAGCCTGCCTCACTCTCCCTGTCACTCTGCTTGCTCCAGACATACTGTCCTGGCTTTATTTCCTCACACACTCCTACCTCCTTTCAGCTACAGGGCCTTTGCACATGCTGTTCCCTCTGCCTAGGTTGCTCTTCCATCTACTCTCTTCACTTGGTTTACTCCAACTCATCCTTCTGGTCTCCAGTGGAACATCACTTTATTCATTCATCCATTGATCCAAACCTAGTTAATGGGTGCCTCCCAAAGCCAGGTAAACATTAGCAAGTAAAATGTACGACCCCAGGCTTCTTGGAGTTTATAAGCTAGTGGAAGAGATAATAGATGAATAGACAAGCCACAATTGCATGGGAAACATTCCCTGACTCCTCTGCCCTTTGGCAAGAATAATTATCAATTAATTGTATAATTATTTATTTAATGCTGGTCTCCCCTTCTAGGATGTAGGTTCTATGAGGCCAAGGACTGTGAGGGTCAGTACTATTATTATCCCCACTTTATAGATGAGGAAACTGAGGCACAGAGAGCTTGAGCAACTTGCCTAAGGCAAGAGCTGGTAACTGGTGGAGCCAGGATTTGAACTTATGGCTCCAGGGTCCATGTTTTCAATCAGCAGGTTATGAGCAGTTTAGGAGGAAGAAAGAAAGAAAGAAAGGGAGAGAGAGAGAGGGAGGGAGAAAGGAAGGAAGGAAGGAAGAAAGTGAAAAAGAAAGAAAGGAAGGAAGAGAGAAAGAGAGAGGAATGAAGGAAGGGAGGAAAGAGAGGGAGAAAGAAAGGAAGGAAGGAAGAAAGAAAGAAAGAAAGAAAAAAAAAAGAAAGAAAGACGGGAAGAAAGAGAAAGCAAGCTCGCTTCAGCAGCACATATACTAAATTTAGAACGATACGGAGAAGATTAGCATGGCCCCTGTGCAAGGATGACATGCAAATTTGTGAAGCGGTCCACATGAAAAAATTTTTTTTTAATGAACTAATTTTTAAAAAAATTTGTTTATTTTTGGCTGCATTGGGTCTTCATTGCTGCGCACAGGCTTTCTCTAGTTGCGGTGAGCAGAGGCTACTCTTCGTTGCGGTGTGCAGGCTTCTCATTGTGGTGGCTTCTCTTGTTGCAGAGCATGGGCTCTAGCTGCACAGGCTTCAGTAGTTGTGGCATGCAGGCTCAGTAGTTGTGGCTCGTGGGCTCTAGAGCACAGGCTCAGTAGTTGTGGTGTATGGGCTTAGTTGCTCTGCGGCACGTGGGATCTTCCCAGACCAGGGCCCAAACTTGTGTCTCCTGCATTGGCAAGCATATTCTTAACCACTGTGCCACTAGGGAAGCCCGTTCCATATTTTTAAAAGACAACTTCTTCAATAAGTAGTGCTGGGAAAACTGGACAGGTACATGTAAAAGAATGAAATTAGAACACTTCTGAACACCATGCACACAAACAAACTCAAGGTGGATTAAAGACCTAAATGTAAGACCAGACACTATAAAACTCTTAGAGGAAAACATAGGCAGAACACTCTTTGACATAAATCGCAGTAAGATCTTTTTTCATCTACCTCCTAAAGTAATGAGAATAAAAACAAAAATAAACAAATGGGACCTAATTAAACTTAAAAGCTTTTGCACAGCAAAGGAAACTATAAACAAGACAAAAAGACAACCCTCAGAATAGGAGAAAATATTTGCAAACGAAGCAACTGACAAAGGATTAATCTCCAAAATATACAAACAGCTCATGCAGCTCAATATCAAAAAAACAAACAACCCAATCAAAAAATGGGCAGAAGACCTAAATAGACATTTCTCCAAAGAAGACATACAGATGACTAACAAATACATGAAAAGATGCTCAACAACACCACTAACTGTTAGAGAAATGCAAATCAAATCTACAATGAGGTATCACCTCACACAGGTCAGAATGGCCATCATCAAAAAATCTACAAACAGCAAATGCTGGAGAGGGTGTGGAGAAAAGGGAACCCTCATGCATTGTTAGTGGGAAAGTAAATTGATACAGCCACTGTGGAGAACAGTATGGAGGTTCCTTAAAAAACTAAAAATAGAACTACCATATGACCCAGCAATCCCACTACTGGGCATATACCCATAATTCAAAAAGACACATGCACCGCAATTTTCATTTCACTATTTACAGTAGCCAGGACATGGAAGCAAGCTAAATGTCCATCAACAGAGGAATGGATAAAGAAGATGTGGTATATATATACAATGGAATATTACTCAGCCATAAAAAGGAACAAAATTGGGTCATTTATAGAGACGTGGATGGACCTAGAAACTGTCATACAGAGTGACGTCAGAAAGAGAAAAACAAGTATCATATATTGTATATCGTATGTTAACACATATATGTGAAATATAGAAAAATGGTATAGATGATCTTATTTGCAAAGCAGAAATAGAGACACAGACACAGAGAACAGATGTACAGATACCAAGGGGGGAAGGGGGCGTGGGAGGAATTGGGAGATTGTGATTGACATATATACACTATTGATACTATGTACAAAATAGATAACTAATGAGAAACTACTGTATAGCACAGGGAGCTCTACTCAATGCTCTGTGGTGACCTAAATGGGAAGAAAATCCAAAAAAGAGGGGATATATGTATACGTATAGCTGATTCATTTCGCAGTAGAAACTAATACAACATTGTAAAGCAACTATATGCCAATAAAATTAATTGAAAGAAAGAAAGAAAGGGAGAAAGAAAGAGGCAGGGAGGAAGGGAGGAAGGAAAGAAAGAAAGAAAGGTGAAAGGGAAGGAGGGAGGGAGGGAAGAAGGGAGAAAGGGAGGAAAGGAGGAAGAAAGAAAGAGAAAAAGAGGGGCTTCCCTAGTGGCGCAGTGGTTGAGAGTCCGCCTGCCGATGCAGAGGACATGGGTTCGTGCCCCGGTCCGGGAAGATCCCACATGCCGCGGAGCGGCTGGGCCCGTGAGCCATGGCCGCTGAGCCTGCGCGTCCGGAGCCTGTGCTCCGCAGCGGGAGAGGCCACAACAGTGAGAGGCCCACGTACCGTAAAAAAAAAAAAAAAAAAAAAAAAAAAAGAAAGGTTCCATCAAGGGTCGTGCCTTCCGTGGCCAGCCGGTCCTGCAGGAAGTTGTGGTCTGTTTCAGAGCCAGGCCCAGTCTCCTGGGTCCCCACCTTCCCTGCAGCTATGTAGCAGCCCAGGGTTGTTCAATAGGCTGGGAAGATCATTGCTGCCCACGAACTTGCTTTGGGCCATGGGGAGGGAGCAGTAGAAGACAGCTTTGAATGTCAGAGGGACCTTTGGGATCAGCATTCCAACCTTTGCTTCTCTGCTGGGCAAACTGGGGTCTCAAGAGTACAATCTCACAGCTCCTGAATCCAGCCCAGGGTTCTAGAAAGATTACTCTGCCCCAGTATTCTAGAGTGTACATTCTCACAAGTCTGTGAGCCAGTAACCTGGGCTTTCTGGGGCCTTTTGTGTTCTCCTATCAAGGAAAGATTCTGGCCAGAGAGCCCTTGAGAACAGCTTTATGCAAGGCTGTGGCCACGGAACAGAGCCAATCCCTTTTTATACAAAAGAAGTCTGGTGTTATCGAGCTCATACCAGGTGCCAAGCAGTGTGCTAAGAATTCCACATGCATCCACACCTCCAATGGTATATAGTGAAGATCTTGTCTCTATTTGATGTAATTTGTTCCCCTTCTTACCAGCTGTGTGACCTTGGGCAAGTCCCTTCATTTTTCTGAGCTTCCATTTCCGTTTGATGTTAGAAAGATGAAGGTACTTGTCCAAAGTCACGTGCTTATAAGAAGGAAAGACAATTTTTCCATCCACAAAACTTTCCTGAGTTCTTAATATATGAAAACTTATAACTGTTTGGGGGCAGGAACTGGGCAGAGCTGATTACGACTCTACTGCTGCTCTCAAGGAGATTACAATCTCGAGAAGGAAGAGCAAATGTGTTTTTTTGTTTTTTTTTTCCTGACAGAACGCTAGAATCAGCGGGTAATGGCTACCTGCCTGGACTCCTGCATCCTGGATCTGCGGGGAAAGAGTTCCAGGATTGATTAGTGATGTCTGCCGCAGGATCCAACTTGATGATCTAAGTACCCGTGGCCAGATGGGGACTGTTAAGAACAAAGTGAGGGTCTGCATGGAGTTCTGCAGGGGTGGGGGAAGGAGAGAGGGGAGACCACCATTTGCACTTGAGAGAAAACTCATTGGAGATGGTAGCCGTGCTCTGAGGGGAAAAGGGTGGACTATGGCTGTGAACACGTGTGTGGCATGGTAGCTATCCAAACTGGAGGCCAGCAGGCTAGAGAGGGCACAGGCTCTGGATGAAAAGAAACCTGAATTCAAATCCTGACTCAGTCACTTTTTAATGTGTGACTTGGGACATATCATTTAACCTCTCTGAACCTCAGTTTCCTCTTCTGTTATTGGGTTGATTGCTGAGTGCTTACTCTTGCTACAGTGTCCACTGACAACAATAATCCAGGGAGGTAGTATTGTCAGCGCTGCTCCTTGCTGGGCTCCTGGGTTGGCATTCACTCCATAGCCTGTGAAAACTTGTGCCCTCTGGTGCCACAATGTGAATGACTATCTCCTGGAGTTGTGTGACATGGCCGCCTGGATGAAAGAACAGAGGCCAGGGAGGTTAAGTCACTTGCCCAAGTCACACAGCTAACACATGGCAGAGGTGGGATTTGAGCTCAGGTCTGTCTGCTCCACAGCCCAAGCCTGTAACCAGCATGACCTCCTGCCCACGAGCGATTTGCCAAACCTGGAAAACAGTTCAGCCTCTATGACAGTTTGAACTTTGGCAGATTGATAAAGGTGTGTAACTTCCCCACTTGGATTTTCCTGCAGGGATAGGTAGCCAATGAACTCATTTTCATGCCTGTGAAAATCCCGAGCATAGTGCCTGGTGTGCAGTGAGAGTAACTCAGAGTGGTGAGGTTGAGGGCTGCTGGGAGACTGAACCCCACTCTGAAACTAAGTGTGAGAAGGGCAACCCTAAAAGAAAGAGGATGGTAGTAGAATTTTCAATGAGAGGGAAGCAGATGAGTTCTTGGGCCTGGGGAAACAGACTTGGGGGTGAGAGTGGTGCTCAGCTGTCAGAAGGGCTACTGGTGTATCCAACTGCAGGGGTGCCGATCAGTTAGGGTCCCCCAGGGGACATGGGGGTAACTGATGATCAGTAATGAAGGGCTTGTAACAGCTGTGAGCAGGAGAAAGGGAGCCAGCAGTGGGTGGTGACACTTCTGGGAATGGCAGGAGCAGGGAGCCTGGGCCCGAAGGCATGAAGGGAAAGGTTGCTCTGGAATCTGGTGAGAGCTGTAGCTTTACGAAGGAGCCGCGCTGTAGGGAGACGAACGCAAACTTCATCCAGGCCACCTGCATCCAGACACCATGAGGGCGGCCCCCCAAACCTCACAGACTGAGAGGGGTCAAGGGATAAACCTCCAAAGGGATACTGGGATGCCCTTACCACAAGAAAGTAGGAAAACTCGACAGACGTTCATCACACAACCCTGACCAGGATGATTTGTGAACATTCTGGCAGCTCTCAAATTCTTTAATTTGATGACCATTGACTCGATCAGCTTTTATTTTCTGGGACATTAAGTTATGTGGAATCTGGTGGAGCTTTCAAATGATGCAGATTCAGGGCGGGTAGCTGGGGGGATGGGGAGAAGGGGTTAAGAGAGGCATGTTTATCTACAGCCCGACATCAGGTGGCCCACGTGTTCAAGCCAGAGAGTTTCCCAGAAGGTGAAAAACACACCACCCCCAAAGTCCCTGCTGTTATTAATCAGCAAATGTCTCAGCAGCAGGCGTGCATGAGTGAATTTTGGGGTCACGGCAGGTAATCCGGTCTGGCCAGGCCGTAACAGGTGACCTGACTGTCTGCCTGATCCTGAGCCACTGGATAAGGGGATTAATCTAAATCTCTTGGAGGAGAGGACGTTTTTCGAGAAAGCCTGGGACCCAGAAAGTGAAAGCTGACTTAGTGACCTCAAACGCCGTTCCTTGGGATCATTTAGAAAAGGTGCCATTGAGGTTGAGACTCCCAGGGATGCAGGGGCAGAAAACACGGAGCTTAAAGGGTCTGGGAGGAATGGAGATAGAAAATCAGGGAGATAGAAAATCCGGGGAGTTCATGCCCTTCTCAAGGGGGCAGTTAAGACCCAGTGCTAGTTGACAGTCACTGAATAGAGCCAGATGGGCTGGATTTGGATCCTGGCTCTGCCTCTTACTCATTGTATGACATTGGGCAAGTCACTTCCTCTCTCTGTGACACAGTTTCCTCGACTGTAAAATTGGACAATGATAAAACCGACTTCATAGAGATGTTCTGTATGAATGAATGTTTGCAAACACCTAGAACAGTCCCTGGTATGTAGTAAAAAGCACTATATATAATGTTTGCTAAATAATTAGATAAATAAGAATATAGGTTATTTGTTGTCAGATCTTCCAATCTTTAAAGGGAACTAAATCTGGAAATCTAAGTTTTTTTTTTTTTTTTGGAAATCTAAGTTTTAATAATCATATTAATGGCAAACACTTAAGCAGTTTCGAAACACCTTAAATATTGACTGAATGTTGTAAGGTAGATACTGTTATTATCCCCATTTTACAGATAGGGAAACTGAGGGGGTCACATGTTTTGTCCTAAAGTTACATACTAGCAAGTGGTAGAAATGGAATATAGGGTGACAAACCATCCTGGTTAAAACCAGGACATTAGAAGCCCCACCTGCCAGGAAACTCTTCAGTTTGGGAGAACCAGGACTGTTGATCACCCTAGCTTCAAACCTGGTCAGCCTGGCTCCAGCATTCTGCTCTTAGCAGCATACTCTATTTTCTTTTGCATGAATGCTCCTGATTTTTAAATGTTGGCCACTGTGGGCCAAACAATTTGCAATTCCTGAAAGAATCTGATATTCCCTTGCATCAAATTTTCCCACTTGTTACAGAGAAGTGCCTGTGTTTCCTCATCTGTAGAATGGGAAAAGAATAACACAGACCTCATAGGGTTGTGGTGAGGATTAAATGAGTTCATGTACTTAAGGCACTTAGAGTAATGCCTGGTATGAAGCAAGTGCTATATAAATCTTTGCATGTATTATTGTTGTTCTTAAACAGACATTATCAAGACCCTCTCAGACTTCCTGAATCTGAATCTTGGCTTGAGGTCTGGGCATCTGTTGTTGTTGTTGTTGTTTTTAATACCAAGTTCCCCAGGCAACCAGGTTTGGGAGTCAGCAATCCTGGGGTCAAGTCTGAGTAGTACAATTAATGCTCTGTGTGACCTTGAACAAGTTTCTTCACCTCTCTTTCTTCCCTTTGCAAAGGACCAGGAGTCCTGCCTCTCTCAGAGGGTTAATGTTTAGAGGCTTCTAGAACCTCTTGGAAAGGGAAAACATTTGATATAAGGCAGGTGAGGAGGTAAAGAAGTAAGAAGGGAAGCCCCACATTGCACTTGGAGGGGACTTAGGATTCAGGCCTGGGGGCTAGGCTACAGGATAGTCAGGATGGACTAGGCTATGCTGAGTGACAAAGAGCCCCAATAACTCAGTGGCTTAAAACGAGTGTTTGTTTCTCACTCTCACTCCACATGCTAGTTATTAAGCTGCTGTCTCTCAGCTCCAAAGCTGCCCTCCCATACGCTGCTCTGTGATGCTGGGGCTGGGACCCCACTAGCCACATTCCTGGTTTGTCAGCTGCTCCTGGTAGGCTCTCCAGGCTCCGGACAGCCTGGAGGAAAGAGGAGGGACTTGCTCCTTCCTTCTGTTGTCTGTTCAGGTCAAGGTCACCCAAGCAACACTTCTGCATCCTGGCAGTGGCTACTGGTTCCAGTCTCTGGGTTTTTTACACACACCCCTGGAACCAGCCTCCTTGTGTCCCCACAGTGCCGAGCACTCCCCACTTGGAGGTCTGAGTCCCAGCTCTGAGGGGGCCTCTCCTCCAAGGCTCTGGGTTCTGACACTCCAACCTCCACCCTTTGTCCACCGGCGCCAGGGGCAGTGGCTGCTTCCTGTATCAGCATCTCTGTGTTGCCTAGTTGCTCTCCTGTGCTTTTTCAGCCCTCCAGCATTCATTCTAATTCTCTGTTAAAATGACTGCTGTGGTTTCCTTTCTTCTGTCAGCCACCCTGACCCACACACTCCATGCATACTATGAAACAGAGTTCACTCTGAGACCCAAGCTAAGGGAGCAGCCCACCTGGAAATTGCCAGGCATAGTGGCATAGGGGAGAGAGCCTGATGGACCACACACTAGCTCTTAAAGCTTCTGCCCAGAAGTAATGCGTCACTTCTGTCCACATTTCATTGGCCAGAGTAGGTCATGTGACCACATCTGAGTTCAACACGGGATAGGCAGTGAATATTTATGATCAGTAGTACAGCCTACTAGTGTGTTCTTGGAAAGACTGAGAAACTATACTCTTTTCTCCTTCCTGACAGTCAACCCTAATCAGATCGCTAATTAGATTTTCCTGAATAATAATAACCAGCAAGTTATTGTGCATTTACTATGTGCTAGCCTAAGCGCTGATTTTCAGAGTCCATGGGTAGGTAGTTGTTACCCCTATTTCTCAGAAGAGAAGAGGCTCAGAGAGGGGACGTGACTTGCCTCAGGGTATAGAGCTGTAAGAGGCAAAGCCGAGATTTACACTGGAGTCTGTCAGACTGAAGCCCAAATTCTTCACTTCTGAACTCTGTGGGGTGTCCCTTCTTGCTCCTATTCCAGAAACCCCGGGGAGGGCAGACAAGGAAAAGCAGGTATTTAAACTGGCTCAGCCCCTTTAACTGGCAAATCCGGCCTCCCACTGAAAGTTGCAGGTTCTCTATAGGGCAGCCCACTTCTGGAGCTCAGCAATCCAGAAAACTCCCCATGATTCTGCCCCCGGGAGCCTGCTCCTCTGGCCAGTCCTACTGCTGGCCTTGGCGCTTGGTTTTCACCCTCCAGCTTCCTCGTCCAGCACCTTGCTCAGCCCCAGCCTGGCTCAGGTTCTGCCCAGAGAGCGTTCCCAGGAGGGGAGACAATGTCCAGGGTCTGGGACCCCATGAGCCTGAGCTTTCCCAGGGCTCTGTCACCCCTCAACATTCAAGGGACACTGGGCTGTGCTTGGGGCAATAGCCACTTGAGTCTTGTCCCAGCAGACATGAATTTCCTCAGTTAGAATATAAGCTCTTAGTGATCTGAACTGTGTCTTTTGTATCTTCTGCACAGTATTATTGACAGCTGATGCCCTCAGGCACCCCAGGCATCAGGCACCATGCCTATTTCAAGGGTACCTGGGATTTGTTTTAATCAGGTGTGGTATAAGACACACAGACGTGGAAATGACTGCCATGAAGGAAGAAGTTTATACTCTCACATCCCTAGAAATAGGCACAGCAGACACAGATGTTTAAAAAGAACTCACTTCTCCTGTGTTCCTTCTTTACTCACACTATTACCACACTCACAACACTTCTGACACCAGATGTGTGAGTTTTTTTCCCACACCATGCAATTCTCTGTGATGCCAGCTGGGTGTCCTACAGTTTAACTCAATTCTGACACCGTCTACCTGGAGCCCCATGACACTGCCCCCCACTTCAGGTGCCAATCGTCAAGTCATAGGTCCCCAGGTTACCCACAACTTCTGTCCAACTTGACTATACATGAGAGGTTCCCATGACCTCCTCCTCCTTGGATTCGATTATTTGCTAGAACAGCTCACAGAATTCAGGGAAACACTGACTTACGTTCACCAGTTTATTATATAATAAAGGATATAACTCAGGAACAGCCAGATGGGGATGCATAGAGCAAGGTATGGAGGGAGGGGTGCAGAGCTTCCATGCCCTCTCTGAGAGCACATCACCCTCCCAGCACCTCCACATGTTCACCAGCCTGGAAGCTTTTCGAACTCCATACTTTGGGGATTTTTATGGAGGCTTCATCACATAGGCACGATTGATCGTTAACTCCATTTTCAGGCCCTCTCCTCTCTCTGGAGAATGGGGGGGCGGGGCAGGCTGAAAATTCCAAGCTTCTAATTATGGCTTGGTTATTCTGGTGACCAGACCCCAAAAGCCCACGACAAATCACCAAAAAAGCCCACCACAAATCACCTCATTTGAACAAAAGACACACCTCTCACCCAGGAAATTCCAAAGAATTTAGGAAATCTGTGTCAGGAACTGGGATCGAGATCAAATATTAGGGCAAAAGATGTTCTTAATGCTCTTATCACTTAGGAAATTCCAAGGGTTTTAGGAACTCTGTGCCAGGAACCAGGGGCAGAGACCAATATATATATTTTCTATTATTTCACAGTGTAGGGAAAGGTACATGGGGAAGAACCAGGGTCAGTCAGGAGGCAGAGGGAGTGAGGGGAAAACGTGGGCAGGAGGTTTTACTGTAGCTTCTGCAGGAAGAAACGTGCAAGGCAGAGTAAGCAGGCTGAGAAGGTTTAGGATTGGCTCATTTGATTACTTATAACAGGCTCTAGGGTGCAGGTTCCTTCCCCAGTTGTCTGGTACCTGGCCCTGGGGCGATTAAGGCAGGGGGATATTGGCCTGGAGCTAAGAGCTTGATAAAGTAGATGGTTGGGGTGTGGGCTTTGGATTGGTTGGTTTGCAGGGGAAAGGCACACTCCCAGGGGAGTTGTTTGCTCTCTCTAGGAATTAGCTAATCTTGAGAGGGGCAGTCCTTTCTAGTGTCAGCAAGGCCCCGAGATGTCAAGGCATCAGAATAAAAAGATATGCTTACTACAGAGCCTTACAAGTATCATATTGCTCAATATTTGAAACCAATCTATTATTTCAGTTGGCGTGAGTTCAGCAGCCAGTAACAAAAGAACTGATTAATAGAGGCTTAAGAAATAAGATGTTTAATTCTGACATAACAAAAAGTCTTGAGGAGGAAGCTTCCAGCTTTAGTTTGTCAACTCAACAGTATCATCCAGGACCCAGACCTTTTCTCTCTTTTGCCTTTTTTCTGTTCAGCATGTTGGTGACGTGGCTCCATATAATCCCAAGAAGCTGACTCAGCTCCAGGCATCAAAGCCCCACAGAACATGGTCCCAATGAGATGGAAAGGTATTTCAGTTATCTATTGCTGTGTAACCAACCATGCCAAAACTTAGTGGCTTAAAACAACAAGTTATTATTTCTTACACTTCTGTGGGTTGACATGAGTACAGCTGGGGGGTTTTTCTGTCCCACATGGTCTTGGTTGGGGCCATCCACTGAAATGCATTCAGCTGGCAGCTGAGCCAGGATGGAAGATCCAAGAAAGCTTCACTCACATGTCTAGGGCCTTGGTGCTCTTCCACGTGGCCTCTTTATGTGGCTACTTGAGGTTCCTCACAGCATGGTGGTCTCTGAGTAATGAAGTGTCTTTCACGGTGGCTGGCTTCCAGGGCAAAAGTGGAGGCTAACAGGCCTTCTTAAGCCCTATGCCTGGAAGTGGCATAGCATCACTTCTGCAGCATTCTTTGGGTCAAAGCAAGTCACAAGGCCAGCTCCAATTCAAGGGGAGCTGTATCCGCAATAAAAGTAAGAAAAAGAAGGAAGGAGAGAGTAGATATTTGGGAGGCAAATGGCAGGGTCTGCCACAGTGAAGCATGAGTTTCCCCTTGAAGAGGTGGCCAGACAGAGACTATCTTTCCTTAGAGCAGTTGAGTGGCACGGTGAGTGTGTACTACTGCTTGGGGCACCAGGGTAATATAATGGCATCCAGAGTCTTCTCTTTCCCTCCCCCTCTCTCTCCTAGTTCAGTGTGCTCTACCTGCTCATTGCCTCACCCACAGGGGTAAGACCATGGTAGGGAGAGGATGATAGCACATATGGGGAGGGGGAGAGCCCAGTTATTTGCTTTTTCAAAAAGACGGAAGCATTTGGCACCGCTCCTGGTGCCAAATTGAAATTAATGCTGGCTACACTCCCAGCCTGGCTCCCATCCCCTCTGGAGGGCAGAGTCTCTGCAGCACTGAATCCAGGAAGGTCACTTGCTTGTCACAGGGGAAGGTGGGCGAGGGGCTGCAACAGTCAGGGCCCCGGAAGAAAACTGAATCCAGTTCAGATGCTCAAGGGGCCTTAAAGAAGGGACTGTTCTCAGAGCGTGGGCAGGTTTAGGGGATCAGAGAAGGGAGGTAGAGGCACTGAGAGATTAGCAACAGAGGGAAGACATTACCACAGTAAAGGCAGGGAGAAGCAGGGTAAGGAACTAGTGTGACCGAAGCCCAGCGAGGGCAGGAGCTGGGGAAGGCATCTAGACAGAGGCTGTAGTTGTGGAGGTGTGTAGCCGCCAGCAGGGACATGATATTGAAGGAGGGAGTTTGAAAGAAATGCCCCACCTCTCTCCCCTGGCCTTCTGATCTCCTGCTGGTCCTTCCCATTGGCTACACCCAGTCAGAAGCCCGAGGGCAAGGGAGCCCATGGGTGATGTGGGCCATACTACTGATTCTGGGAAACACAGGACAGGCAGAGGAGGCTGGAGAATGAATTGGGGTGGGGTGGGCGAAACAATACAGTTGTATTATGCAGATGCCCAAAAGATATGGTTATTTTTGTATAACTATTTTTCAGTACTCCAGAATGTCCCCCATTCATAGATCTGCCACAAGTTACTTAAAAAATCCTTCTCTTGGGAGTTCCCTCGTGGTCTAGTGGTTAGGACTTGACGTTTTTATTGCTGTGGCCTGGGTTCGATCCCTGCTCCAGGAACTGAGATGCTGCAAGCCACTTGGCAAAAAAAAAAAATCCTTCTTTTCTTTGTAGAGAGCTGTTTTATTGAAAAATGATATACATATATACATGTCAGAAGTGCACAGCTTGATGAATTTTCACAAGAGAGCTTATCCATGTAACCAGATCAAGAAACAGAACATTCCTAGCACCCAGGAAGCCTCCTGAGTCTCCTTCCAGTTATCACTGCCCAGCTCCCCTCCACCAGAGAGCCTGGATTCTGACTCCCAAATAGCACAGGCTCATTCTCCTGTAGAGATAATGTTACAATGGGCATCTTTGTGTCTTCGGATTTTTTATTATTTATTTATTTATTAATTTTTGTCATTGACTTGTTTTCTTAGGATGAATCTCCAGATTTAGGTTTCCTGGGTTGAAGGGTGTAAACATGTTTATTGCTCTTGCTGTATGAGGCTACATTAATTTCTGAAGGATATACAGATTCCTTATCACTTCTTATCCCAAAAGTCAGCCACTGAGATTATAATTGGTGACTCTGGCTTCAGTAGAAGGGAGCCATGAGGAGGCCAGTTCTGGATCCCATTAGGGAGGAATCTGAAACTCTAAATACCAACAATGCCTGCTCTCTTGGTATATGATGTTTTTGATTGCAAATGACAGAAGCTGCTGTAGGCAGACATGGAGATTATTGCAGGCAATTAGGCAGTCCGCGATTCCTGGGTGGGTTTGCAGCTCTGTAGCAGGAACAGAACTCAAGTCCCCCCCGCCCCTGGGCCCAGGCACTTCAGCTCACACCTCCGTGCACTGGAGGTTCAGCCAACATTTGGGTCTGTTCCCAGATCCCCCAAGCGGACTTCCCCTCACATCTCATTGGCCACCCCAAGATTTCAGTGGGCTTACTTTCTATGAGATTCAGTGCTCTCCACTCAATTCTGGAACACAAATCAGGGTTTTATTAGCAAGGAAGATGTGATGGAAGGGCTTTGTGTGTGGTCAGCCTCTGAGCAGTGCATATACTTGGGGAAAAATAGCTGCTCCAGCCCTGACTTCACACATTCTCTTGGCTCTTGTACCCCATACCAATTAATCAGTCTTTTGTTTCTCAAGGAATTTTTTGTCCAAATTCTGTTTTTTGGGAAAGAAGCTCTGATTTGTCTAACCTGGGTGAGGGGTTCTTGTCCAGTCAGCCATAGCAGAAAGAAGGATTTGGTGACACCACATGCCACCAACATGGAGATTAGGCCACTCGGCAGGGCTGGGCTGGAGTGGGTAGCCTTTGCTGAGTTACCCAAAGACAAAAGAAAGCAGTACCAAGGGCACCAGTGAAGTAGGGACACCCAAAAGTATTTTTTCCCCCAAACGGTTTGTTATTTCATTTGAAAAAGCATTATGGCAGAAGTCAGAATCCTGTCAGACTACCTGACCCTTATCTTATGGATCAGTACTGTTTTTATTTTCAATGCCATAGGTGGGATGAAATACTTTACAATCTTTTCAGGCTTTAAAGTTCTCAACTTGGCCCTGGCAGTCTGAAGAAATTAAGGCTCAGAGAGGTCAACTGACTTTCCTAAGAGCATGCAGCACATCAGTGGCAGAGCTAGGACTAGAACCTGGATATCTTAACACCTTGCCCAGTGTTCTCTCCATTATATGACTGTGCCCTCCCCTTTTTTGAGAATTATTTTCACAGCCCCTGTGGAGGGGCCATTGTGCCACCTGATAGCAGCCCCCTGGCCCTTGTTATTGTGCCAACAGTGGACATAAAATCTAGACTGGCCAAATTGAGTTCTCTTTCCTGGGAAGTTGAGATTAAGAAGACAAAGATTGATTTCTTTTAGTTCTTTTCTTTTTTTTTTGCGGTACGCGGGCCTCTCACTGTTGTGGCCTCTCCCGTTGTGGAGCACCGGCTCTGGACGCGCAGGCTCAGCGGCCATGGCTCACGGGCCCAGCCGCTCCGCGGCATGTGGGATCTTCCCAGACGGGGGCATGAGCCCGTGTCCCCTGCATCGGCAGGAGGACTCTCAACCACTGCGCCACCAGGGAAGCCCTGATTTCTTTTAAACTGGGATCTTCCTCCAGCTTACATGCAATAACCATGATATTCATATAACTTAGCATGCTTTTAGCAAGTAATGGGAATCCAGACTGGCTTAAACAATAAGAAAATGTATTAATTCCTTTAACAAGAAGTGCGGAACCAAGGTGGATTTCAGGTATGGTATGATTACAGTTCCAGCTACACTGGTCTGCAATTCTGTCTAGGCTCCTCCCTCCATAATGTGTTGGCTTTGCTCTCACATTGCCTTCCCTTATGGTTACAAGAGGGCTGCCAGCAACAATAGGGGCAACATGCTTCCTTGTTCTCATCCATGGAGCTAGAAAAAAGCATCTTTCCAGCTCTGGACTGTAAGTCCTTTCTTTCTGTCTGATTAGGCCATTGTCAATTATGTGCCTATTCCTGGACCAGTTGCAGTCTCCAGGAGAATGCTATGCACAGATTGGTTTAAAATTAGGTTCCAGGTCCAATCATTGGCAAGGAGGATGGGATGGCTGTGATGGGCTAAGAGTAATTGAGAGCTATCCTGGAGATGTGTGTGAAAATCAATTTCTTTTGGCCATGTAGGCTGAATGGGAGAGGGATGGTTACCTGAACAAATTGGGATCTGTTGGGAAGGAGGAAGGGGGAACAGATGCTGGAGAGCCAAAAATAAAACCATTTTGAGTTATTTCAGGTGGGTTTCTGATCCTTGTTGTCAAAGACTCACTTGGACAATCAACTTCCTGGTCTGTGGCGAAATGCCTTTGCCCAGCCCCTCTGTATCCCGATTCTGATTTTCTCCTCCGTTCTGTAGACTCAGCTGTCGTCAACATTTCCCACTGCTAGCTCATCGTTTTGGCAAGCTGGCATCTCACTCTGCTCCAAGCCCCGCTGATGGAGCTGAAGATCCCTTTAGCGGAATTGATTCTGGCATGTTTTAATTTAAAAAGCCTTGCACTTCTCTGCATGGAGGCTGCTGAAATCTGTGCCCATAAAAGCAGAGAGTAAATTCTTCTGAGGAAAGCCTATTTTTAACAAGTCCTGAACCTAATTGAACTTAATCATTTTTCAGTCGTTGACACTTGAAATTATGAGTCATTGGGCTATTTATGGAACTGAGGGCTAGAGCAGCCCTTTAAATATCATATAGGTGGTAGATATCAGCTTCCAGAAGAACTTCTCAGGTTTGGAGCTGTGTTTTCACTCAGAATTGTGATAAAGCATGGGTCTCTAGAGACAGCCCTGGGTTCAAATCCTGAATCCCCCACTTACTGCAAAAGTCACTCTATTTTCTCAAGCCTCAGTTTCCTCATCTGTATTGAAAACAATCTTTTTTTTTTTTTTTGGCCGTAATGCATGGCGTGTGGGACCTTAGTTCCCTGACCAAGGACCCGTGCCCCCGGCAGTGGAAGCACGGAGTCCTAACCACTGGACTACCAGGGAATTCCCTCTTCATCTGTAAAATGAGGCTGGCAATACTTGTCCCAAAACATTTTGTGTGAATCATCAAGGCCTGACATGAAGCTGCTTATGATCATTATTTATTCTACTTTTCATTAATATTCATGTTTTCTTGCAGACATGTTAATGTGTTTGATTTTGACATGTTGCCCAAATCCCATTAGTAAAATATAATGTCCCACTAACTTCCCTCATGGTTACAACATGGCTGCCAGCAACATCAGGGGCAACATGCTTCCTTGTGCACCATATCACCTTTCTGAAACCAAAAACACAGTAACTTCTAAAACACATCTTGTCCCAAGAGTTTAGGTATAAGAGAATGGAGAACTTAGTAAGACTGAGCTACTATTCACTCAATGGGTTGGAGGTAAGGTGGAAATCACAGGCATCAAAATTACCCTGGAAAACCAGTACCCCTAATCATTTCCCTTCAGTAATGTGGCTGCTTCTTGAGTTTAGCCCCAGAGGAAGTGGTTGGCTTATGTTTCAGGGCCATTTGTATGAAAAAATGTCTATCTTTAAACCATCAAATGCAGTTAGGCCAGTGAAAAATGCTCATGCCAGGAGTCACAGGTGACCTGGGTCAGACTGGGGTGCCCATGTCAAGCTCACAGAGCATGGGTTGGGTGCTCCTAAAGAAAATCGATGGACAGATTCCTCTGCACCCGTGGTTATTTGTCTCAAGTTATTTCTTTTTTTGCAGAGCAGAAAGATCTGAGTTCTGGACTTCTCTGGTGGTGCAGTGGTTAAGAACCTGGCTGCCAATGCAGGGGACACGGGTTCGAGGCCAGGTCCGGGAAGATCCCACATGCCGCGGAAAACTAAGCCCGTGAGCCACAGCTACTGACCCTGCGCTCTAGAGCCCATGAGCCATAACTACTGAGCCCACGTGCCACAACTACTGAAGCCCATGCAGCACAACTACTGAAGCCCATGTACCTACAGCCTGTGCTCCACAGCAAGAGAAGCCACCGCAATGAGAAGCCCACGCACCACAACGAAAGTAGCCCCCGCTCGCCACAACTAGAGAAAGCCGGCGGGCAGCAACAAAGACCCAAGCAGCCACAGCCAAAAATAAATAAATTTATTTAAAAAAAAAAAAAAGAGAGAGAGAGATCTGGGTTCCTTTGTAGTGTATGTACCCAGCAGGGTTGCTGTAAGTACAGGTAAGTACGGGTGAGATGGGGAGTAGGGAGACAGTGAGAGGACTTGCGGGTGAATGAGAGAGGAGATGGAATGGTGATTGAATGGCAGTGTGAGTGGCCGAGTCAGGGAAAGAGAGCGGTAATTGAGTTAAGAAGTTAGTGGCGTGAGGGTTAGTGGCTAGTCTGGTGAGGGGTCGCCGCGGGGGAAGAGGGGTCGTTGAGGAGTCTGTCGTCCTTCCCCGCTCCCCCCCCCCCAAAAAAACAACTTTTCTCTCACCAGCTGCTCTGGTCCTCTCTTAAGGGCCCTGGACCCTCTTAGCACCTTCCAGGGGAAAACGCCCCGTCTGTGCGAGTCACAAAGGCGCCCGTTCCGGGGTTCCGAGAACGCCCGGACGTGAGAATGGGGGTTGGCTCAAAGCAGCCGCACAGCAATCAGTCCTCCTGGCGCCGTCGGACACGCAGCTGCAGTGGCCGTTGGACACGCGGTGGGAGCTGTCCTGCAGGGCGTCCCTGGTAAGTTTCGCGGCGCGCGCAGCCGCGCCTGCTGCTCCACAGCTCCCCCTGCTGGGGAAAGCAAAGACGTGGCGGCTGCCCCTCTCCCCTTCAGACGTTTAGCTGCCCCTAAACCTGGAAAATATCTTGGCCCCCATGAATTAAACGTAAATAAATTACAGTGTGTAAAATAACTCCAAGGAAAGTACAACAAACTTCCATTTCCCCCTGTAACGATCCCAATTTTTAAAAATCTGTGGGTGTTTCTGGACCTCTGCTTGATTAGTGCTCCAAGCACATGTTTAAACCATGTTATGCATGCAGCCTTGGCTTCATTTTTTTTACAGGATCCTCCTCTCTCAGACTTGGAATTTATAACCCACATAGTGGCCTGTCCCAGGGGCCCTGCAGAGCCCTTCAGGGGTCAGGATTTTCTTTTAAGGTCAGATTGTTAAAATTCAGCAGCAGAGGAGGATCCAGCCTCCTCTACCCCAGCTAATTAAATATTAGACAATAAAGTCTTCTCCCACCTGGGAGGAGACTTTATTCATTTAAATAGCATTTGCTAAGAGCTTATCATGTGCCCAGGACTACAGATACTGTAGTGGATAGACTGAGGTCCGGGGAGTAGGAGGCATGTTTGTGATGCTCCCTGACCTGGACCTCTAGATTTCTTAGCACTTTCCAGCGCACACAGATGGGCAGCTTTGAGATTCCTCCCAGGAACCGCAGACTCAAATTCCTGCTGGCTCCAGGCAGTTACAGGAAATGTGGGAATTGGGGGGAGGAGGAGTTAGGCAATGGGGAGGAATGGAGCCTGCAGCCAGGAGTGTGAGTGCATGACCCATATTCACATCTTAAAACACTGCCTGCTAAAAAGAACTGAAGGCAGGTTGAATTTGCCCTGTGGGCCTCAAGTTTGAGACCCCTGACTAAGAGGGTGGTGTGCCAGGGCCCAGGACACCCTGCAGGTGCTCTCTGAAGGCCCAGCTGTGAGAATGGGGGTCTATCTGTTCCCAGGGAACAGAGTGGGTCCAGCCCACAGAGCACAGAAAGGGAAAAACTTGTGTTGGTGTCTGGAAGCTGGAGAAAAGCCGGTATCCCAGGGGGAGCCTGGTTGTGGGTGTGTGTATGTATCAGCGAAAAGGTAGGAGTTGATGGAGCCTCCAGCTCCTGGGGAAAAACACACAACACAACCAGTTAACTCAAGGGCAAGATAAACTGACACTTGAAAATCCTGATTCACAGACAAGTTACATTCATCAAACACCTGTCATGTGCTAGGCACTGCGCTAAGAGCTTTATATACATTATTTTATGCTGAGTGTGGGGGTGAGCATCCCCATTCTATAGATGAGGAGACTGAGGATCAGAGAGAGAAATCACATTGTCAGTGAATTTCAAGTATACTTTATTTAGTCATGCTTTTAGAAGGGTGCATTACAGATCCACTTAGGATCAAAAGAACCCTTAAACATAGAAAAGCTCCTGCACCATATGAAATCGGAGCTGCACAAAATTCTAGAATTGAAAGAGGTCCTAAAGTGAGTATTCTTTGCCCAAACCTTATCAGTCTAATAAATCCTGCCATAGCCTCTACCCGTACCTTGAGGGCTCTTCCAGAAATGATCAAGCTATGGAACCATAGTCTTTATTCCACTTCCCTGCCTGTGGGAATTTTCCAACATTAGATATTTTCCTTCAAATATGATTTACCAAAAATCAGTTAGTCCTCAAACCCTCTAGAAACCCTCTAGAACATATTAGGGAAACGCCAGAGGTCTTACAGTCTCAGCCACTATATTCTTATCACCCAGCAGATTGAGAATCATTTTCAAGATAGTGGATCATGTAGGGCAGGAATGATCTAGGCTGCAATGAACAAAATACTTGATAAGGGTGCCTTAAACAATAGTGACACTTAGTTATTTCACTTAACGAGAAGCCTAGGGTAGGTGGTTCCAAGGATGGGGCAGTGGCAAAGTGTCAGTGAGGCCCTAAATTTCCCCCCATATTTCTTCTTTGTTCTCTTTAGTGTGACAGTGATATTTCTCCTCCTGGTCACAGGATGGTTGCTCCAGCACCAACCATTGTAACCTTCACAATAATTTCCAAAAGCAAAAGAGAGGGGAACATGGACAAGCTCTTTTTATCACAAAGGAATAGGAATAGACATCTCCTTATGTCTCATTGGCTAGATCTGAGTCACATGTTTATCTTTCAACCAATCATTGACAAAGGGAAATGGGTTACTATGATTAGTGGGAACCAATCATGATTCATCCTCTGGAACTGGGCAGATTGAGGAGGGACAAACTCAGAGTCCTGTTAGGAAAGAAGAAGTCAGAGTGTTCTTAGAGTCATACTAGTTGCTGTAGCAAAGATGCCCCCTCATTTCATTGGCTTAACACAACAGAAATTAATTTCTCTTTTCTGTAACAGTCCAATGAGGATTTCGTGGTTGGCAGGTGACTTCTTCCACAAGCTGATTTAAGAGACCTGTCTTGTGGCTCTGCCCATCTATGGCTGCGCCTAACATAGATATCAGATTGGGAAGAGAGGATGGAAATGTCACATCCACTTCTTAAAAAGTCATGGTCTGGAAGTGACACACCTCTCTGCTCACATCCCATGGCTGAGAATTCGTAGCTCTGTCTGGATTCAGGAGGAGCTGGGAAGTGTAACCCCTGGCTAGGCAACTACCTTAGCAACAACCCTTCATGAAGGAGAAGTGACTGTTGGAAGGCGATTAACTCGTCTCTTACAGGCTGATCTTCTTACATCCCTGCTTTTAAGGAACATCTTGGCTTTTCCAGACCTCTTGGCCAGTCACTTCCCAGTGGTTACTGCCGCCTACACTAGACCACACATCAGTCTCTGAACACTCCTTTTATTCACTTGCTTCTCAGCCTTTGCCCAGGCAGTTCTCTTTACCCCAAATTCCTTCCCCACTTTTCTTCTCTGCATGGTGAACTCCTATTAATCCTTCAAAACCCAAATTGAAAATCATCTCCTTTTTGCAGCCTTTTCCACTATTTTGCCCTGGGCAGGGTTCATACCACCTTGAAGGTTAACTTATCCCTGAATTCCCTACAATGTTTAGCACATAGTAGGGGCTTAGTTTTTATGCTAAAGAGATCTAGGTACTTCAGGCATGAGAACTCATTTGGTTGCAAGTGACAGAAAACTCATCTCGCATTGCTTTAGGAGAATATGTTGGTTCATGTAATTGGACATGACCCAGAGGTATCTTCAGGCTTGGCTATATCCAGGGGCTCAGATGATTCCCCTACGGTTCAATTTCTCTTGATTTTGTCTTCTGTCCTCAGTGATAGCTTTATTCTCAGGCTCCCTGAAGAGGCAAGATGGCTGCCAGCCACTCCCAACCTCATTCACATAGGTTAAAGTGCAGCAGGAAACAGAGTTTCTCTCTTCCTGTGTGTGCAAGCTTAAATTCCACTATTCACGCTGCTTGGACTAGGCAAGGTCATGTGCCCATTCCTGAACTGATCACTCAGGCCAGGGGGCTGGAATTATGCAGATTGGCCAGGGATCTGGCACTCTGATTGACCCATCCAGAGTCATAGGTTGCAATCCAGAAGTTGATGGAGTGGGGTCAACCTCAGGGGCGCAAAAAATGACCAGGAGTAAGGGAGGGAGAGGCTTCCCACTGGAAATTCCAGGTATTGCTACCAGGAGACAGAGGAATGCTGGATGCCCCGTAAGCCCACATAATTTTTTTTTTTTTTTTTTTTTTTTGTGGTAAGCGGGCCTCTCACTGTTGTGGCCTCTCCCGTTGCGGAGCACAGGCTCCGGACGCGCAGGCTCAGCGGCCATGGCTCACGGGCCCAGCCGCTCTGTGGCATGTGGGATCTTTCCAGACCGGGGCACGAACCCGTGTCCCCTGCATCGGCAGGCGGACTCTCAACCACTGTGCCACCAGGGAAGCCCACACATAAATATTTTTTATGCTGAACCTTCATCCTATGAAAAGACCCATATCGCACCACATCGTAACAGCCACTGTTTACTGAGGACTTACCTTGTGCCAGGCTTAGTGCCTTACATGCTGAACAACCTGTGAAGTGGCTTCTAGAATTTCTCCTATTTTCCAGATGAGGAAACCAAGGCCCAGAGAACTGAAATGACTTGCTCAAACTTAACAAGTGGCCAAGGAGGAATTTTTGCTGAGATCTGATGGTTGACACAGCAATGCTTTAAACCACTGCACTGTAGGACCCCTCAGTGGGTGGCAAAGCTAGAATTTTCTTGTTTAAGAATCTAGCTCCTAAAGCCTGGGAGTTGGGGTGCAGTGGATCTTACAGCCCCATAGGGCTCAGAGGGTTAGCATTGTCACCTTCTTTGAATACCTAATGTCTCTCAGTACTACTGGCTCCTGCTTTAAAAGCGGGGGGGGGAGTGTTCCCACAGCTGAAGCTGGGCGAATTTCGATGTAACCCCATCAGAGGAGACACTGCCCTGATGCCATCTTGCCCCTCTTCTTTGGGAACACAAGGAGCAAGAGGGTAACAGACATGCCAGAACCATCTGCCTGGCTCCTAATAATAAATCATGAGAGGAACAGGTTTCAGGCAAACATTGCTTTAAAAAAAAAAAAGCCACTTCTCACACCCGGGCAGCCATCTGCCGTGTCCTCCTCGTGTGCCAAGCTGTGGGAGGAGGAAGGTCTGCGGGGGGTGGGGAAGGGAGAGGGTGCTGCCGGGTCCTGCACCACCAGCAGGAGTGGCTCACAAGTTCTCTTCCTTTTGCCACTGTGGACAGGTATCGCAGAGAGAGAAAGGAGCACTTGCTAGCTTTGACCTTCCTGGATACAATGTCTGAGCAGAGCGAAAGCACAATTCCTTCAAGATGCTGACGGTGGGTAACAGTAGCTCCTACATACAGAGGGCTTACTATGGGGTCAGGCATTGTGCGGTCCTCTGTACACGTATTAACTCATCTAATCCTGACAACAAATCTATGTGTGCCCATTTTATAGATGAGAGACTGGAGACTCAGAGATGTTAAGTGACTCACCCAAGGTCACACAGCAAGGCCACCTCTTCAGTATGCAATAATGAGGTCCAGCTTCCTCTCCACCCTGGCAACCCAGGGTGGGTTTTCCATGTAACACCTAAGCAGTTGACATTACCCAAGGGTGGTCTTCCTACTCCAGCCCTGCCCCAAGCACTCTTCTTGCCCTCCATCCTTAAGCTGAAATGTGGGCTTTTCTAGTCACCTAACCTGTTGCTTAACACTCACCCTGTCTCACTCAAAAGAAGCACAGAAGAAAAGACCCTGAAAATTCCCAGGAACCTTCGGAGAAGACCAAAGAGCAGCTGGCTGAGGCAGAGCTTTGGAAGCTGAGGCAGCAGTTCTGGAAGATGGTGGACAGTCGGAAATCCTTTAACTTCTGCTCCCAGCAGAAGATCACAAACCAGCAGTAAGTGACGCTCAGAGTTCTCTACTGAGTGAACTTGGAGACAATTTTGGGTTTGGTTTCATGGGGCTTGCCTTCTGATGGGGTCTGGGGCAGGAACCCACTTGGGATAGCTTCAGTGGGGAGAGGAGATTTATTCTCAGAGTTCAGGGAGTCTCAGGGACTCCAAGGGGAGCAGCGCACCCATGTCTCAGGGAAGGACCCAAACAAGAAAGTGATTCTGGTTCCTGTTTCTTTCAACACATGGGTTTTGTTCTTTCCTCTCTGAATCTCAGCCGTGGCTGGTGGGAGATGGCTGCCTCCAATTCTTGAGCGACCAAAGGCCACACAGAGAGACTGTTCTTAGTCAATTCCAATCCCAAAATTCCCAGGAGAGGGAGAATCTGATTGGCTTATCTTGGGTCTGGTGTCTACTTCTGGCCCAATCAGCTGTGGCCTGGGGGGGCTGAGCCATAGGACAAAAAATAGCTATGGGTATCCCCAGCGGTTCTAGCAGTAAAGATGGGGAGTTCCCAGAGAAGGGGAAATCACCAGTCGGTGGATACCCCAAAGGACGTTTCCTGCTTGTGCGTTATTATGGGATCTGCAGGCCTGAATATTTGAAATTGAGTTGCCCTAGAAATTATGGCGTGTATAGTTTCTTTGGGCAACAGAAAGGTGTTCCCTGAGGTTGAATAAACAAACATTAAACAAGCATTCTTAGATTCCGTCCAAAGAAATGTGATTCCTTAACCACATTCATAATGTTTATACAGGCAGTAACTGCCTATTGTTAGAAAGAAAATTTTACTGTTAGATGATGTGTGAAGTTCAGAGGATAGGGAAAAGGGGTTCTTTAGATTTTCCATGGATTGGCTCACTCAGAGCCACTGCTAGTCCATGTGGGATCATTACGTGAATTAGAAAAAGGCACCCTTTCTCAAAGACCCTTTACTGCCATCTGCTGGAAACATTGTCATTATGTAGGGATTTTGTTAAAACAAGACAAAGTGTCTCGCAGAAAAGTGGAGTAAATCAACAAATCAATGATATGTTTTCAAGCAGATGGTGCTCCCTTGGGCTGTGCAGTCCACAACCTGCACATCTGTGCTGGTGACCCTGATTCACAGCCTACCCTTGGTGGGCATCAGGAAATGCCTACTTCTTGATGTGGCTTCAGTTTTTCTTGAATCTTACTTACCCTTCTGCATCTCACTCTACCCCGATCCATTTGATCTGGTTTCACTGTGGTGGAACTGAAGGGGAGGAGAGTGGAAGAGAACTGGGGTGAGGTGAGTGAGGTGCTTAGGGCGTAATATTTAAGGAGGTGCTTTTCCCTAGCGCAGACCCTGCACCTATACCACCCTGAAAATGAAGACCTCCTTAAATTTTGGGGCACCTCACTCCCCTCACTGCAGTCCCAGCCCTGCCTAAAGACGGACAAACCTTCCTTTTGCTTTTCCGATCTTACTGCACCCCCGAAAGCCTAACTCTGACTTACTATCCGGCTCTCTCTCTCTCTTTTCTCTGCACCTTAGCAAAGACCCCTCCAAGAGGGGCTTAAGGGGAGAAAAGTCCCAAGGGCCAGGTTTAGAAGACAAGATGCTCTAGAACTGGGCATGCACTCCAGTGGTTGTTAGCAACATGTGGCTATTTACATTTGCAATTTATTAAAATAAATAAAATTAGAAATTCAGTTCTTCAGTTGCACCAGCCACGTTTCAAGTGCTCAATAGCCACACGTGCCTGATGGATGCTGTCGGACAGCGCAACTAGAGAACGTTTGCATCACTGCAAAATGGTCTACTGGACAGCGCTGCTTTAGAACATCAGTCAGCAAACGGTGGCCAATGGGCCAAGTCTGAGTGGCTGCCTGTTTTTGTAAATAAAGTTTTATTGGCACACAGCCACGCCTCTTCATTTTTGTGTTGTCTAAGATTGCTTTGTTGAGTAGTTGCAACAGAGACCCTCTGGCGTGCAAAACCTAAAGTATTTACTCTTTGGCCCTTTATAGAAAAAGCTTTGCAGACCCCGCCCTTGAACATTCTTTGCTGTTCTAGAGTGGCGCTTCCAAAACTTTAAAGTGCATACAGGTCACTTGAGGATCTTGTTACAAAGCAGATTCTGATTCAGTAGGTCCTGGGTTGAGACCTGAGCTGCTGCATTTCTCCAAGCTTCCAAAGGGCATTGAGGCAGCTAGTCTGCAAACCGCACTGAGCAGCAGGAATAGGCTGCCCAGACTTTGCCAGAAACTTGGTCTCTGTACCATTTCCTGTTGCTCAGTTGCCATGCAGTCGCCTGAGTCTTCTTTTCTCTTTTAGAAATCCCTGGTTGCTCACGTCCCCGACACCCTCTCTTCTCCAGAGCAGACAGAGGAAGAGAAGGAGACTCATGTCAGCCAATTTCATAAATCAGTAGCCCCTGAGTAGAAAAGTTGGTGGGGGTTAGAGGTTCCTGTGCAGTCTGTGTTGACGCACAATTGAAAGATCCTGCCTCATGGGTTTGCCTCTTATTACCAGAGATAACTGGCTGTAAAGCCAGAAAAGAAAGTCTGCAAAACCAGACAGATGTCAGTGAACTTGGGGGCTCTCACCATGACTAGGTAATGGGTTTTGACAGGCACAGCTGCAAATTGTTCTGAGGAGTAAAACAAAAATGCCACTCAGAGAAGGGCAGAGCAGTAGAAGTTGCAGTGAACTGGGTCAAAGGACATCTGAGTTCTGGACCTGGGTTGGAGACCTTGGGTGAGTCTCTTCCACTTGCTGGGGTGGGAAGTACCCCTCTGAGTCTCCTTTCAGGACCAAGGGGCCTGGAGTGTCTGATCCAGGCAAACTCAGGGGTTCAGGGTTAATCACATGCTGCTTTCCCAACAGCAAGGAAATCAAGACCCTGCAGGAGGAGCAGGAGGAGATCACCCTGCTTTTGAATCTCATCAAGTCCTCCAGGAACTTGGATCTGAATGAGAAAAACTACATGGAGCTGTGTTTCCTGCTGCAAACCAAGGAGGACTACGAGGCCCTGATTAAATCGATGAAAGTGCTGTTGGCTGAACTGGATGAGAAGGTGTGGTCTTTCTCTTAAAGGGTTAACCAGAACACCGAGCAAGGGGAAGGAGTGCAGGAGGTGTACTCCCCACCATACCCCCACCGTTGGCTTTTCTAAACGTGACTGTGGTCACTGTCTCCACCACCATTGTAACCCCTGATCTCTCAGCTCTATTGATCCATTTCCTCACTGTGGTCTCCACTGCCTCCCCATTACAGTAAGACTAAATGCCCCAATCCTTACTGTATCAGTCAGGAGAGGTTAGGTTATGCTGCAGTAACAAAATTCCCTCTCCCCAACTCAGTGGTTTAAAACAACAAAGGTTTCTTTCCCATTCATGGTTTATGTCTATTGTGGATTGGCTAGGGGCTCTTATATCCTCTCATCCTGGGGCCAGGCTAATGGGATAGCCCCCATCTTGAACATTGCCAGGTACTGTGGTAGAAAAAAGTGAGTCCTGAGGGTCTCACACTGGCAGTTGAATGCTCCAGTGACATGTGTCACTTCTGCTCATGACTCATTGGCTCAAGATAGTCTACCAAACCCGTAGTTTGGTAGACTATCTTGACCCAAAATAGTCAACTCTACCCATTCACAAAAGGGCCTAGGAAGTGCAACCCTCATGGATCCAGAAAGCAAAGAGCTAGAGACATTTGCTATACAGTGTTAATCCCTTACTATCGTTTGAAAGACCCTGCCTATCCCTCTAGGCTCATCCCATGTCATTTCTTCCTTAACTCTTCACACTCCAGCTGCAAAAGACTTCTTTCTTTCTTTCAAATAATGCTGAGCCTTTTCTCACCTCAGGGCCTTTGCACATGCTCCCCACACTGCCTTAACCTAGTTGCTTATCTTTATGTCTCAGCCTGAAGGTGACTTTCTCAGGGAGGCCTTCTCTATGCCCTCTCTCTGGTTTAAAGTATATGCCCCTGGTGTTAGTTTCTTGGCCAGGAACAAATAGCACACTCTGTAGGGTACTCGGACGAGTAGGGCGTTCTGGAACATGGAGTAAATACCTCAACCTCTCTTTCTTCTCACCTCTGACCCCAACTACAAGGAAGCCATTGTGGATCCTTCCCGGTTAGCTTCCTGGAGCACAGAGCAGGGTGGAGAGTAGATCTTGGGGGGCAAATAGAAGATCCCAGCGCACCCTCTATCCTCTTTCATGTCACCCCATGGCACCTCCTTCACAGTACCTTTCACGGTGGTAATTATGCCTTAATATGGGTGTTGTCTAATGTCTCCCTAACCTGTCACCTGCGTGAGTCTGTTTTGTTCCCTACTGTACCCCCTGTTCCTATCCCAGTGTCCAGCACCTAGCAGGTCCTCAATAAATATTTACTGACTGAATGAATCTGGAAATCTCATTACACCTTTCCTCTGCTTCAAATTC